CAAAACAATAGGAAAAAGAATGTAACATTGTATGACAGTTATAACCATATAGTTTTAAGTTTGGGCCTGACAGCAGCCTTCAGCACCAGATCAGACAAAGTTCAGGGTCCAAGACATGAATATACAGTTTAATATGGTAATTAACACTAGCCCACTGCCAGTACAGATGCAAGGTGCTAGTAAATCGGTTGTGCTTCACACCACTGTGAACAGTATTTCACATATACTACTCAAAACAAGTCCAAGAACACCCACAACTGGAAGGTTGTGTGCACCCACCAGCCATGGCAGACTAACTATAGTCATAAGAAAACATTGGGCTGTCTTTAACTTCTTTTTGAGTAATATACATGGTGTGTCAGTTTGTGTTAGGAGGAAAGCCAGAGTGATGCAGTTCTTCGACGTTTACCACTCTGGTGAAACCCACAAGCACGGGTATGGTACAGAAAACACTGTGACAATCAAGGTGGATCTAGGATTCGAACCCATGATCACAGGTTCACGCATGCCTGAGGGAGGAATTGCAGCACACTGCAGCACCTTAGGTGACTGGGCTACCCTTGCCCCTCAAACCAGGGCTGCCCTTGGCCCTCAAACCAGGACCACCCCTGGCCTTTAAACCTGGGCCACCCCTGGCCCTTAAACCAGGCCCACCCCTGGCCCTTAAACCAGGGCCTGTAGAGTGTGCAGGACACTGCCGATGTGAGTGCAAATAATACTTTGGTTAACATGTACAAGGAAGAAGATATCGCATTGGCCTATAATGATAGACTCAACTACTTATTTCACACTTAGATGTTTAGTATTTTCCATTAATATACACATGTAATATATAGTATATTCCAAGGAAAATATAGTTTCATGCAAAGTCTTTAAGTTTGCAAATGAGGGCCTTGTACTGATTACCTACCTCGTTAAGATAACCTTGAACCTGTGTTGCTGCTTGTAACAGAGACTAAGGACATCTCATAGTTCAGTGTAAGAACAAAATGTCCAGTCGAATGGTAGGAATTGGTCATTTTTCAAAGGTGAACAACAGCAACTAAAAACCTTATCTGACAATATTTATGTCATCTGGAACGTCAGTCTTGATCCCAAAGCTAGTTTCCTTCCGCAACACAGAATTCAGGGCCTCCTTCCACTGTTGAAACTCTATCGTCGACTTACGATAGTCGCAGCACTCGTATCATCTTATAGCGCATGGCCCAGTAGTTAATAAGTGTTTATTAACAAATGCAAAATACAAATAATTCCTGTGTGAAATTGCAGTTCTAGACAGCTGTGTACATTATTCTACCTATTCTGGTCAACACACCTTATTAATCACGACAGAAGAACTCGGACATGCCACATGCTTATTTTAGGACAGCATGCCGGTTGATCTTTCTGGCAAAGCAAATACAAAATCACATTATCCAAAACATAATTCTGCAATGTTATTTTCCTTATAAGCAATAACACAAAGCCTTATTTCAACACATTCACTTTAAGTTGTTTGGTTAGAATACCAAATACTGCAGTTGACCCAGGATTTTTATACATATTTTTCAGCATTTTTTGTGAACAATAATGCTAACGTCACACTGTTTTTTCTCTCTCACCTATTTGGTAAAATGGAGTCAGTCAAAAGAAATTGTTAGGTCAAATGTACTATTTCTTCTTTCTAATTTCAATTTGTTTGTCAGTCTCTTTAACCAAGTGAAACAATAACAGGCCTTCAGTTTTGTCCCTTTGCCTTCTGTTCCGGACAAGATGCTATTTTATTTCCACATTCCTGCACATTGTGTAACATGTTACAAATATTTTACATTATATTATTAATAACTATTTGATCTCTGAAGTTGATGCAGCTGCTGACAGGACCTCATCCCATCCTGCAGGAATCTGTATATTCCAGCACAGCATAGACGCGGTGGGGATGTACGGTCAAGGTGCCCCTATCAGCATTATCTCAATTGATACTCCCATCCTGCAGGAATCTGTATATTCCAGCACAGCATAGACGCGGTGGGGATGTACGGTCAAGGTGCCCCTATCAGCATTATCTCAATTGATACTCCCATCCTGCAGGAATCTGTATATTCCAGCACAGCATAGACGCGGTGGGGATGTACGGTCAAGGTGCCCCTATCAGCATTATCTCAATTGATACTCCCATCCTGCAGGAATCTGTATATTCCAGCACAGCATAGACGCTGTGGGGATGTACGGTCAAGGTGCCCCTATCAGCATTATCTCAATTGATACACCCATCCTGCAGGAATCTGTATATTCTAGCACAGCATAGACGCGGTGGGGATGTACGGTCAAGGTGCCCCTATCAGCATTATCTCAATTGATACACCCATCCTGCAGGAATCTGTATATTCTAGCACAGCATAGACGCGGTGGGGATGTACGGTCAAGGTGCCCCTATCAGCATTATCTCAATTGATACTCCCATCCTGCAGGAATCTGTATATTCTAGCACAGCATAGACGCGGTGGGGATGTACGGTCAAGGTGCCCCTATCAGCATTATCTCAATTGATACACCCATCCTGCAGGAATCTGTATATTCCAGCACAGCATAGACGCTGTGGGGATGTACGGTCAAGGTGCCCCTATCAGCATTATCTCAATTGATACTCCCATCCTGTAGGAATCTGTATATTCTAGCATAGCATAGACGCAGTGGGGATGTACGGTCAAGGTGCCCCTATCAGCATTATCTCAATTGATACACCCATCCTGTAGGAATCTGTATATTCTAGCACAGCATAGACGCGGTGGGGATGTACGGTCAAGGTGCCCCTATCAGCATTATCTCAATTGATACTCCCATCCTGTAGGAATCTGTATATTCTAGCATAGCATAGACGCAGTGGGGATGTACGGTCAAGGTGCCCCTATCAGCATTATCTCAATTGATACACCCATCCTGTAGGAATCTGTATATTCTAGCACAGCATAGACGCAGTGGGGATGTACGGTCAAGGTGCCCCTATCAGCATTATCTCAATTGATACACCCATCCTGCAGGAATCTGTATATTCTAGCACAGCATAGACGCGGTGGGGATGTACGGTCAAGGTGCCCCTATCAGCATTATCTCAATTGATACACCCATCCTGCAGGAATCTGTATATTCTAGCATAGCATAGGCGCAGTGGGGATGTACGGTCAAGGTGCCCCTATCAGCGTTTGTCAATTGATACACCCATCCTGCAGGAATCTGTATATTCTAGCATAGCATAGACGCAGTGGGGATGTACGGTCAAGGTGCCCCTATCAGCATTATCTCAATTGATACACCCATCCTGTGGGAATCTGTATATTCCAGCATAGCATAGACGCAGTGGGGATGTACGGTCAAGGTGCCCCTATCAGCGTTTGTCAACTGATCACCCATCTTGTCTATTCTATCAGAAGGTATGTACTAGATCAAATGGTCTCACAGAGATTTACAGAAATCAGAAATAAGGAGGGTAGTCGTAAGAGAAACTTTACAAAAAACAACAATAATAAACATGTCATAAATATGCATACAAACTCACGCACTATTTGCAGGTATTTGGAAGAATAAAGACACACCCACCCAGAATCAATGCCGAATTTCATTTTCAGTGATGAACACCACAAACAATATACTGTAAATCTGGAAATTAATGCGTCTCCAAATTAATACGACTGCTGACCCCTAGCCAAAAAATGCGACTCAAAATCAATGCGACTCCCCCCACCCCATCCCCAGTGGAATGATAGGAATCCTTACCCTAATCCGATCAAACAGTGGTCAATGATGCCTAGTTTGACACGAGTGGGTAGAACTCTTGACCCCAGCAGTGATAACTCACCGGATGCCCTTTGTGTAATTCCTATTCTTTAAATGACATTGTTATGTACTTCAAATTGCTCCTCAATAAACCGTGTTTGTGTATATATTCAAGTTGGTATTTCCGCTATCCAAAGTGTGCGCTATCCGAAGTCATATTGTTGATAGTCATTTTGGAGACATAAATACGAAGTTTCATTAATGCGAACAAAGACCACTCGCATTTTATCATTTAATTCATGCTCGCGTTAAATTCAAGATTTACAGTACCTCGTAACATAGGATTATCCTATAACACGTATGTCCCATTGTACGCAATAGATGCCAGGAAATTTGTTGTGCCTGCTAAATCCCAGTATGAGATGACCACAATAAAGCTAACTTGGTGAGAACACTACGGCCTTTTTTAGACGACTTGGAGTCAGTTGGCTTTAACATTGCTTTGAATGTGAGTGAGTCAGCTTAATGTGGGAGGAAAGCCCGAAGTGATGCAGGTCTCAGACGTTTACCACTTCGGTGAAACCCACGAGCACAGTTATGGTGCTGACAAACCTAGAAACATAATCGAAGTGAACAAAGATTTAAACCCTCGACCAAAGGTTTCTGGGTGTGTCCAAGTGAAGGAAGTCACAGGTCAACTCAGATCTATCATTATCAGTATCGAGATGTTACCTTCAATATACAATTAACTACTCTTGATCATTCGTACTGTTAAACCGAAATATAATCTAAAGTTCATGTACCCTTAAACTTTTCTATGTTTCATTACAATAACTTACCCACGAACCATAAAATGTTAGAACCGGACGCCATCTTGTTTCCTAGCAGACGAGTCAATATTCATCACGTGACAAGTCAATACTGATCATGTGACAAGTCAATACTGATCATGTGACAAGTCAATACTGATCATGTGACAAGTCAATACTGATCATGTGACAAGTCAATACTGATCATGTGACCAGTCAATACTGATCATGTGACAAGTCAATACTGATCATGTGACAAGTCAATACTGATCATGTGACAAGTCAATACTGATCATGTGACAAGTCAATACTGATCATGTGACCAGTCAATACTGATCATGTGACAAGTCAATACTGATCATGTGACAAGTCAATACTGATCATGTGACAAGTCAATACTGATCATGTGACAAGTCAATACTGATCATGTGACAAGTCAATACTGATCATGTGACAAGTCAATACTGATCATGTGACAAGTCAATACTGATCATGTGACAAGTCAATACTGATCATGTGATAAGTCAATGTTTGAGGTCAGTGTCAGTCACATGATTTGGGGGTCAACATTGAAACGTATTTTTTTGTCACGTGGTACGGAATAACCAATGGAATAGCAAGATTCTTAATAGAGGCATAACCAGTTATAATGAACACATTCTTAATGAAAGATTATCTAGAAGTTCGCCTACAGTAATAGTTACCTTATTTATCAATATTGACACTGAGATATTCACCTGTGAAGCTGTTCTTCATGAATAATCAAGATATTCACCTGTCAAGTTAATTGTCAGGATTTTCTTCGTACCCATATCATGAACAGTTTAGTAAATCTTCATGAACACATCTATCATGAAAGGTATTATTTAGATGCCCACCTACAAGTATGTTGACCAGGCTAAATGGTAAACAGAGTGTCAGCTTGACGAACAACATGTTTTGTACAAGAGGCCAGGGCATGCTATCAAAAGGTGCATCTGGCGTGTGGATATGCAATTCAAAGAGAAAAACCAGCTCTTGAAGAATGGCATACTTGTCCCAACATTACAGCGACAGAAATAGGCAATTTGTGGGCGTGTCCCAATGTTACAGTGACAGAAACATGTAACTTGTGGGCGTGTCCCAATGTTACAGTGACAGAAACATGTAACTTCTGGGCGTGTCCCAATGTTACAGTGACAGAAACATGTAACTTGTGGGCGTGTCCCAATGTTACAGTGACGGAAACATGTAACTTGTGGGCGTGTCCCAATGTTACAGTGACAAAAACGGAACTTGCGGGTGCGTCCCAATGTTACAGTGACAAAAACGTAACTTGTGGGCGTGTCCCAATGTTACAGTGACAGAAACAAAGTAGAAAAGACTCCTCTCTTGGTGCGGCTGAAATGAATAGAGTCACAGCCTCATGGGATATACGGACATAAATACTAACGTACTAAAAGCATAAGTGACTCTCCGCCACACGACCCCAGGAACCTGCGAGGGGTAGGACCAGACCGAGGCAGCCTCACTTTGATTGTAGAGTGAGTATAAATTATTTGATTACGACACGTTTACAGCAGAACAGTCTCCAGTCACATGGCACTCTGCCCACGTCTCTTCTCAATACAATCAGTCCAGGCGTATCAAACGTGGCGACAGTGCCCCCTGGTGGTTGGTAGAATCATCACACTCCCTACTATTTTTCATCGATTGTTTTTAACAAACGTATCCAGAATGTCCTCGGCCATTTTGAGGTTGTTGTGCGACACTCTCAAGGCCTCCACTGCTTTGAGGCGATCGTAGCCCCGGTCTACGAGTATGGTGACGTGCTCCTCGTTTAAACTGCCCACAATCGTTCCATTGTTCTCCTTGTTCAGGTCCTGGTTCTCTCGCAGTCCCTCGCGCCGAGCGGGCAGGGGAATATCATTCACATCTCCACTGAAACAACACACACATCCAATACTAATTAACCATACTTGATGGCCCCAGCTGTCACAGTAGTGTAGAATAGTGGGCAGGTCGATCTCATTAACTCATAGAAACAACATCAAAATACTATCATACATTCATATTTCCCCACAAACACAGGTAATTATTTTTGATTTTGTATTTATTTTGTGCCAGATGTATGCTCATCTTTTTGCATCGTAACCATGCATATTTATGCACATGTCTTCAAGTTTGCACGTACATCAACCAACCTACATTCCATAGTAAAAGAGCTGGAATGCAGGGGGATTACAGGACCCTTCCCCTTCAATGACTTGATATACCCTACCCTGAATGATTCATTATTCCTTACCACTCAATGACTCGCTATACTCTCCCCCTCAATGATTCTATATTCCCTACCCCTCAATGATTCTATATTCCCTCCCCCTCAATGATTCTATATTCCCTCCCCCTCAATGATTCTATATTCCCTCCCCCTCAATGATTCTATATTCCCTCCCCCTCAATGATTCTATATTCCCTCCCCCTCAATGATTCTATATTCCCTCCCCCTCAATGATTCTATATTCCCTCCCCATCAATGACTCGATATACCCTCCCCATCAATGATTCTATATTCCCTCCCCCTCAATGATCAATGATTCTATATTCCCTTCCCCTCAATGATTCTATATACCCTCTCCTCAATGATTCCATATACCCTCCCACTCAATAATTCTCTCGTCCCTCCCCTTGTGAAGGGTGGAGGTGTTGGTCCGTGGGGCGAAGGTGTGTCCTTGTGGGGTGAATATGTACCATTGTGGGGGTGGAGGTTTTTGGCCTGTGGGGTGGAGGTATGTCATTGTGGGGTGAAGGTGTGTCATTGTGGGGTGGAGGTATGTCATTGTGGGAGGTCGGTGTGTAATAGTGGGGTGGAGGTGTGTAATAGTGGGGTGGAGGTGTGGGCCTGTGGGGTGAAGGTGTGGGCCTGTAGGGTGGAGGTGTGTCATTGTGGGAGGTCGGTGTGTAATAGTGGGGTGGAGGTGTGTAATAGTGGGGTGGAGGTGTGGGCCTGTGGGGTGAAGGTGTGGGCCTGTGGGGTGAAGGTGTGTCATTGTGGGAGGGAGGTGTGTAATAGTTGGGTGGAGGTGTGGGCCTGTGGGGTGAAGGTGTGTCATTGTGGGAGGGAGGTGTGTAATAGTGGGGTGGAGGTGTGTAATAGTGGGGTGGAGGTGTGGGCCTGTGGGGTGGAGGTGTGTCATTGTGGGAGGGAGGTGTGTAATAGTGGGGTGGAGGTGTGTAATAGTGGGGTGGAGGTGTGGGCCTGTGGGGTGAAGGTGTGTCATTGTGGGAGGGAGGTGTGTAATAGTGGGGTGGAGGTGTGTAATAGTGGGGTGGAGGTGTGTAATAGTGGGGTGGAGGTGTGGGCCTGTGGGGTGAAGGTGTGTCATTGTGGGAGGGAGGTGTGTAATAGTGGGGTGGAGGTGTGGGCCTGTGGGGTGAAGGTGTGTCATTGTGGGAGGGAGGTGTGTAATAGTGGGGTGGAGGTGTGTCATTGTGGGAGGGAGGTGTGTCATTGTGGGAGGGAGGTGTGTAATAGTGGGGTGGAGGTGTGGGCCTGTGGGGTGAAGGTGTGTCATTGTGGGAGGGAGGTGTGTAATAGTGGGGTGGAGGTGTGGGCCTGTGGGGTGAAGGTGTGTCATTGTGGGAGGGAGGTGTGTAATAGTGGGGTGGAGGTGTGGGTCTGTGGGGTGGAGGTGTGGGCCTGTGGGGTGAAGGTGTGGGCCTGTGGGGTGGAGGTGTGTAATAGTGGGGTGGAGGTGTGGGCCTGTGGGGTGAAGGTGTGGGCCTGTGGGGTGGAGGTGTGTAATAGTGGGGTGGAGGTGTGTCATTGTGGGAGGGAGGTGTGTCATTGTGGGAGGGAGGTGTGTAATAGTGGGGTGGAGGTGTGGGCCTGTGGGGTGAAGGTGTGTCATTGTGGGAGGGAGGTGTGTAATAGTGGGGTGGAGGTGTGGGTCTGTGGGGTGGAGGTGTGGGCCTGTGGGGTGAAGGTGTGGGCCTGTGGGGTGAAGGTGTGTCATTGTGGGAGGGAGGTGTGTAATAGTTGGGTGGAGGTGTGGGCCTGTGGGGTGAAGGTGTGTCATTGTGGGAGGGAGGTGTGTAATAGTGGGGTGGAGGTGTGTAATAGTGGGGTGGAGGTGTGGGCCTGTGGGGTGAAGGTGTGTCATTGTGGGAGGGAGGTGTGTAATAGTGGGGTGGAGGTGTGGGTCTGTGGGGTGGAGGTGTGGGCCTGTGGGGTGAAGGTGTGGGCCTGTGGGGTGAAGGTGTGTCATTGTGGGAGGGAGGTGTGTAATAGTGGGGTGGAGGTGTGTCATTGTGGGAGGGAGGTGTGTAATAGTGGGGTGGAGGTGTGTAATAGTGGGGTGGAGGTGTGTCATTGTGGGAGGGAGGTGTGTTTTAGTGGGGTGGAGGTGTGGGCCTGTGGGGTGAAGGTGTGTCATTGTGGGAGGGAGGTGTGTAATAGTGGGGTGGAGGTGTGGGCCTGTGGGGTGAAGGTGTGTCATTGTGGGAGGGAGGTGTGTTTTAGTGGGGTGGAGGTGTGGGCCTGTGGGGTGAAGGTGTGTCATTGTGGGAGGGAGGTGTGTAATAGTGGGGTGGAGGTGTGGGCCTGTGGGGTGAAGGTGTGTCATTGTGGGAGGGAGGTGTGTTTTAGTGGGGTGGAGGTGTGGGCCTGTGGGGTGAAGGTGTGTCATTGTGGGAGGGAGGTGTGTAATAGTGGGGTGGAGGTGTGGGCCTGTGGGGTGAAGGTGTGTCATTGTGGGAGGGAGGTGTGTAATAGTGGGGTGGAGGTGTGGGTCTGTGGGGTGGAGGTGTGGGCCTGTGGGGTGAAGGTGTGGGCCTGTGGGGTGAAGGTGTGTCATTGTGGGAGGGAGGTGTGTAATAGTGGGGTGGAGGTGTGTCATTGTGGGAGGGAGGTGTGTAATAGTGGGGTGGAGGTGTGTAATAGTGGGGTGGAGGTGTGGGCCTGTGGGGTGGAGGTGTGTCATTGTGGGAGGGAGGTGTGTAATAGTGGGGTGGAGGTGTGTCATTGTGGGAGGGAGGTGTGTAATAGTGGGAGGGAGGTGTGTAATAGTGGGGTGGAGGTGTGGGCCTGTGGGGTGGAGGTGTGTCATTGTGGGAGGGAGGTGTGTAATAGTGGGGTGGAGGTGTGGGTCTGAGGGATGGAGGCGTTGGTCTGAGGGATGGAGGCGTTGGTATGCGGGGGAGGTGTGTGACTGTGGGGGAGGTGTGTGACTGTGGGGTTGAGAGGCTCAGGTTTGCTGTACTTACTGTGACTGAACAGGAGCTGGCTGTTTGGCCCTGGGCATATGGGCAGGTGGGCAGGCATATTCACTTGGAAGTCGATGTAACTGGGGGGGAGCGTTTCCTGTCACGGAGAAAATAGTTCCTGTAAAATGTGAGTGAAGCATGAGGAAAGCATTAGGCAAAGCATGCTGGGTAAGCAAATAAGGGCAAGCACAGGCATGCAACTTAAAAACAGCAGAGTCAAGCATGACAAAAATTCAACATAAACAACAAAATATGGGAACGAAGTGTTTGTTCACATGAATGCTTTGCATGAAAGATCAAGTCAAACATGTTATATATGTGCCAAAGTAATATATTTCTACCTCAACAAGTGCATCAAGTCTCAAGAAAGTCGAGAGAACATTGCATACAACTATTCAGGGATATGTTAAGTGCATCGTAAAACCTTCCAGAATTGTTTTGTCGAGGAATTGGTGAGAATTAGAGCCCTAAGTTCTTGTGATTGTGCAGCCTAGTGTTAATGTCAACATCCATGCAGAGGTGTTTACTCATTCAGCCATCCGGAAAGATCCGGGGTAGAATAGGTCTTCAGCAACCCATGCTTGCCGTAAAAGGCGACTATGTTTGTCGTAAGAGGCGACTAACGGGATCGGGTGGTCAGGCTCGCTGACTTGGTGGATACACATCATCGTATCCCAGTCGTGTGGATCAATTTTCTGGAATGTCTGGTCCTGACAAGATTATTTACAGACTACCGTCATATAGCTGGAATATTGCTGAGTGCGGCGTTAAACAACAAACCAACAAACCAACAAAACAAACAAAACTCATTCAGCAGATCCTGAGAGTGAGTGAGTGAGTGAGGGATGACTGCATTATTCCAGCTCTATCCCTATGGCAGGCTGTGAGTAATGGACCAGACAAACCAGTGACTGAAAGGACGTCAGTAAATCCCCACCATCAGGGTACAGACACACCATCAACCCTGTCACAGAGAACTCATCCCAGACTGTAGGTGATGGGTCACTAACTCTGCTCTACTGCATGGTACTCAAGATGAGTGAGTGAGTGAGTGAGTGAGTGAGTGAGTGAGTGACCCTGTCACAGAGAACTCATCCCAGACTCTAGGTGATGGGTCACTAACTCTACGCAACTGCATGGTACTCAAGATGAGTGAGTGAGTGAGTAAGGTTTTACGGCGCTTTTAGCAATATTCCAGCAATATCACCACGGGGACACCAGAAATGGGCTTCACACATTGTACCCATGTCGGGAATTGAACCCGGGTCTTCGGCATGACGAGCGAACGCTTTAACCACTAGGCTACCCGACCACCCTGGTACTCAAGATGAGTGAAGGACCCAAATGGTAATTGTTGTTTATAACCATCCCAATATTTAATTATATATATTTACTTACACTTTATAACTGTGTGGTTTATATGGTATTGTTTTTAAAAAACAACAACATAAATACAAAAAAGTACACAGGGTGGAAATTAACGCTCACCTATAGGCCCGAGGCCAGTAGAAAATACCTCGGGCTAATATAATCATACTTCTACTTAGCTATAGGCCGTTTTTTTAACACATGCTGTTAATTATCTTCCTCTCGATTCCCCAAATCGCTGCGCTAGACATCTTTCAAGTCTTAAAAGATTGAGTTAAAAGATTAGTTAATAAATATGGCAAATATTTGCCCGTTTTCACCATGTGTAAACTTTGATGGACACCTGTAGCGAACTTAAACTTGCTGACCTGCTGTCTGCTGTATAGGTAACCTATACCTAACAAGTATGCTACAAGACGTGCTACTCCATGTATAACCCTGTAATGTCATATACTGAACTGAATAAAAAATATTTTTAAAAAAAGAAAAAAAAGATTTAAATTTGAGAGTCTGCTTATTTTTTAAGGACTAGTAACAATTCCGAAAGGCCTGTGTTTTTCTAGTTAATTTCCATCACTGGCACGGCACAAGACAGAAGACAAATGATCGTGACAGTGTGACCACGTGACTCTGAGACAGTGTGACAGTGAGACTGACCAAGACTTCAGCGTCACAAGCAGAGACATAAGGTTCAACACATGAAGCTTCAGGATATTTTCTGAGTATGACATATCTCACATGGGATAATATCTCACCGTATTCAAGTTACCAAGACAACAGACAAGTATTTTATTGAAATGGCGATATGAGTTCTATAAGCATGCACGTCAAGCCCATGGTGACTCCAGGCCAGATTAGGTGCCCACTACGTGTACCCTATGCTTGTGGTAATACTGCTGATTCAGCACCTATCTCTCCATAGGGGACACAGCTGATGAGTGAATGTATGATGACTGAATGTATGCTTGTGGTAATACTGCTGATTCAGCACCTATCTCTCCATAGGGGACACAGCTGATGAGTGAATGTATGATGACTGAATGTATGCTTGTGGTAATACTGCTGATTCAGCACCTATCTCTCCATAGGGAACACAGCTGATGAGTGAATGTATGATGACTGAATGTATGCTTGTGGTAATACTGCTGATTCAGCACCTATCTCTCCATAGGGGACACAGCTGATGAGTGAATGTATGCTTGTGGTAATACTGCTGATTCAGTACCTATCTCTCCATAGGGAACACAGTTGATGAGTGAATGTATGATGACTGAATGTATGCTTGTGGTAATACTGCTGATTCAGCTCCTATCTCTCCATAGGGGACACAGTTGATGAGTGAATGTATGATGACTGAATGTATGCTTGTGGTAATACTGCTGATTCAGCACCTATCTCTCCACAGGGAACACAGCTGATGAGTGAATGTATGCTTGTGGTAATACTGCTGATTCAGCACCTATCTCTCCATAGGGGACACAGCTCATGAGTGAATGTATGATGACTGAATGTATGCTTGTGGTAATACTGCTGATTCAGCTCCTATCTCTCCATAGGGGACACAGTTGATGAGTGAATGTATGATGACTGAATGTATGCTTGTGGTAATACTGCTGATTCAGCACCTATCTCTCCACAGGGAACACAGCTGATGAGTGAATGTATGCTTGTGGTAATACTGCTGATTCAGCACCTATCTCTCCATAGGGGACACAGCTCATGAGTGAATGTATGATGACTGAATGTATGCTTGTGGTAATACTGCTGATTCAGCTCCTATCTCTCCATAGGGGACACAGCTGATGAGTGAATGTATGATGACTGAATGTATGCTTGTGGTAATACTGCTGATTCAGCTCCTATCTCTCCATAGGGGACACAGTTGATGAGTGAATGTATGATGACTGAATGTATGCTTGTGGTAATACTGCTGATTCAGCTCCTATCTCTCCATAGGGGACACAGCTGATGAGTGAATGTATGATGACTGAATGTATGCTTGTGGTAATACTGCTGATTCAGTACCTATCTCTCCATAGGGAACACAGCTGATGAGTGAATGTATGATGACTGAATGTATGCTTGTGGTAATACTGCTGATTCAGCATCTATCTCTCCATAGGGGACACAGCTGATGAGTGAATGTATGATGAGTGAATGTATGCTTGTGGTAATACTGCTGATTCAGCACCTATCTCTCCATAGGGAACACAGCTGATGAGTGAATGTATGATGAGTGAATGTATGCTTGTGGTAATACTGCTGATTCAGCACCTATCTCTCCATAGGGGACACAGCTGATGAGTGAATGTATGATGACTTAATGTATGCTTGTGGTAATATTGCTGATTCAGCACCTATCTCTCCATAGGGGACAAAGCTGATGAGTGAATGTATGATGAGTGAATGTATGTTTGTGGTAATACTGCTGATTCAGCACCGATCTCTCCATAGGGGACACAGCTGATGAGTGAATGTATGATGACTGAATGTATGCTTGTGGTAATACTGCTGATTCAGCACCTATCTCTCCATAGGGGACACAGCTGATGAGTGAATGTATGATGAGTGAATGTATGCTTGTGGTAATACTGCTGATTCAGCACCTATCTCTCCATAGGGGACACAGCTGATGAGTGAATGTATGATGACTGAATGTATGCTTGTGGTAATACTGCTGATTCAGCACCTATCTCTCCATAGGGGACACAGCTGATGACTGAATGTATGCTAGTGGTAATACTGCTGATTCAGCACCTATCTCTCCATAGGGGACACAGCTGATGAGTGAATGTATGATGACTGAATGTATGCTTGTGGTAATACTGCTGATTCAGCACCTATCTCTCCATAGGGAACACAGCTGATGAGTGAATGTATGATGACTGAATGTATGCTAGTGGTAATACTGCTGATTCAGCACCTATCTCTCCATAGGGGACACAGCTGATGACTGAATGTATGCTAGTGGTAATACTGCTGATTCAGCACCTATCTCTCCATAGGGGACACAGCTGATGAGTGAATGTATGCTTGTGGTAATACTGCTGATTCAGCACCTATCTCTCCATAGGGGACACAGCTGATGAGTGAATGTATGATGACTGAATGTATGCTTGTGGTAATACTGCTGATTCAGCACCTATCTCTCCATAGGGGACACAGCTGATGAGTGAATGTATGCTTGTGGTAATACTGCTGATTCAGCACCTATCTCTCCATAGGGGACACAGCTGATGAGTGAATGTATGCTTGTGGTAATACTGCTGATTCAGCACCTATCTCTCCATAGGGGACACAGCTGATGAGTGAATGTATGATGACTGAATGTATGCTAGTGGTAATACTGCTGATTCAGCACCTATCTCTCCATAGGGAACACAGCTGATGAGTGAATGTATGATGACTGAATGTATGCTTGTGGTAATACTGCTGATTCAGCACCTATCTCTCCATAGGGAACACAGCTGATGAGTGAATGTATGCTTGTGGTAATACTGCTGATTCAGCACCGATCTCTCCATAGGGGACACAGCTGATGAGTGAATGTATGATGACTGAATGTATGCTTGTGGTAATACTGCTGATTCAGCACCTATCTCTCCATAGGGGACACAGCTGATGAGTGAATGTATGATGAGTGAATGTATGCTTGTGGTAATACTGCTGATTCAGCACCTATCTCTCCATAGGGGACACAGCTGATGAGTGAATGTATGATGACTGAATGTATGCTTGTGGTAATACTGCTGATTCAGCACCTATCTCTCCATAGGGGACACAGCTGATGACTGAATGTATGCTAGTGGTAATACTGCTGATTCAGCACCTATCTCTCCATAGGGGACACAGCTGATGAGTGAATGTATGATGACTGAATGTATGCTTGTGGTAATACTGCTGATTCAGCACCTATCTCTCCATAGGGAACACAGCTGATGAGTGAATGTATGATGACTGAATGTATGCTAGTGGTAATACTGCTGATTCAGCACCTATCTCTCCATAGGGGACACAGCTGATGACTGAATGTATGCTAGTGGTAATACTGCTGATTCAGCACCTATCTCTCCATAGGGGACACAGCTGATGAGTGAATGTATGCTTGTGGTAATACTGCTGATTCAGCACCTATCTCTCCATAGGGGACACAGCTGATGAGTGAATGTATGATGACTGAATGTATGCTTGTGGTAATACTGCTGATTCAGCACCTATCTCTCCATAGGGGACACAGCTGATGAGTGAATGTATGCTTGTGGTAATACTGCTGATTCAGCACCTATCTCTCCATAGGGGACACAGCTGATGAGTGAATGTATGCTTGTGGTAATACTGCTGATTCAGCACCTATCTCTCCATAGGGGACACAGCTGATGAGTGAATGTATGATGACTGAATGTATGCTAGTGGTAATACTGCTGATTCAGCACCTATCTCTCCATAGGGAACACAGCTGATGAGTGAATGTATGATGACTGAATGTATGCTTGTGGTAATACTGCTGATTCAGCACCTATCTCTCCATAGGGAACACAGCTCATGAGTGAATGTATGATGACTGAATGTATGCTTGTGGTAATACTGCTGATTCAGCACCTATCTCTCCATAGGGGACACAGCTGATGAGTGAATGTATGATGACTGAATGTATGCTTGTGGTAATACTGCTGATTCAGCACCTATCTCTCCATAGGGGACACAGCTGATGAGTGAATGTATGCTTGTGGTAATACTGCTGATTCAGCTCCTATCTCTCCATAGGGGACACAGTTGATGAGTGAATGTATGATGACTGAATGTATGCTTGTGGTAATACTGCTGATTCAGCACCTATCTCTCCATAGGGAACACAGCTGATGAGTGAATGTATGCTTGTGGTAATACTGCTGATTCAGCTCCTATCTCTCCATAGGGGACACAGTTGATGAGTGAATGTATGATGACTGAATGTATGCTTGTGGTAATACTGCTGATTCAGTACCTATCTCTCCATAGGGGACACAGCTGATGAGTGAATGTATGATGACTGAATGTATGCTTGTGGTAATACTGCTGATTCAGCACCTATCTCTCCATAGGGGACACAGCTGATGAGTGAATGTATGATGACTGAATGTATGCTTGTGGTAATACTGCTGATTCAGTACCTATCTCTCCATAGGGAACACAGCTGATGAGTGAATGTATGATGACTGAATGTATGCTTGTGGTAATACTGCTGATTCAGCACCTATCTCTCCATAGGGGACACAGCTGATGAGTGAATGTATGCTTGTGGTAATACTGCTGATTCAGCACCTATCTCTCCATAGGGGACACAGCTGATGACTGAATGTATGCTTGTGGTAACACTGCTGATTCAGCACCTATCTCTCCATAGGGGACACAGCTGATGACTGAATGTATGATGAGTGAATGTATGATGACTGAATGTATGCTTGTGGTAATTCTGCTGATTCAGCACCTATCTCTCCATAGGGGACACAGCTGATGAGTGAATGTATGATGACTGAATGTATGCTTGTGGTAATACTGCTGATTCAGCACCTATCTCTCCATAGGGAACACAGCTGATGAGTGAATGTATGATGACTGAATGTATGCTTGTGGTAATACTGCTGATTCAGCACCTATCTCTCCATAGGGAACACAGCTGATGAGTGAATGTATGATGACTGAATGTATGCTTGTGGTAATACTGCTGATTCAGCACCTATCTCTCCATAGGGGACACAGCTGATGAGTGAATGTATGATGACTGAATGTATGCTTGTGGTAATACTGCTGATTCAGCACCTATCTCTCCATAGGGAACACAGCTGATGACTGAATGTATGCTTGTGGTAATACTGCTGATTCAGCACCTATCTCTCCATAGGGGACACAGCTGATGAGTGAATGTATGCTTGCACCTATCTAACATATGGCATATACCACACAGACATCCTTGGAGTAGCATAATATTTGTATTACTAAGTAGTATAAATATCACACACAGACATCCCTGGAGTGGTATAACACTTGTATTACACAGCAGTGCATATGACATCACACAAACATCCTCGGAGCAGTATAATAACGCAGTGTATATAGACAATACAGACAAGATGCAGAAGGTGGTTATCTGTAGCAATATGTAGCATTTAGTCTCCAGTAGTTAAGCACAGCAGACCACTGCTCTCATAGATCTTATACGGTTTAGAAACAATAATGCATACTGCAGACAGAACAAGAGATCAATAAAGAAGTGGCGAAGGGAACAAAGCAAATAGCTGCCACAGGAAAAAGCTCATATAATGAGATCACTGCCTAAGGCATAACTTTTGCAGAGTCTGAAAACCTAGCTTACATAGCCTCCACTTCCCGTCTTGACCCCTCCCTGTTATTGTCTGGTAACTACACAGTGATTAATGGCTTTCCTGCTTGGGTATATCTGCCCCTAACATTGCCTATTGCCACTGAATTCCCCAACCCCTTGTGTAAGGATGCTGGTATGCTGATGCCGTACCTCCCTCAGGTGACGGCGGGTGTTTGGAGATGCCCTCCGACGTGGGGGAGGTGTTGATGAGGGGGTGCACGCCAGGCAGGGGTTTGTCGTAGTGCGAGTCCGGCTCCGTGTCAACGGTCTTCACAGTGTGGCCGGGGATGTCGTACCTTAGCTCCGCATAGGACACTCCTGAAACACAGGCTACATCTTAGACACTGCCACCCTTCCCTCTAAACACTTACTACACCTGCACCCAGAAGCCGAACTTGAGTTAACATTCCGCTGCTACACAGTGGGATCCTCTGGAGCCACAAGGGGTTGAGTTTAGGGGTTAGAGGTTCGTGGACACCATGTGAGGAGATATTCTCAAGCTAAACATTAGTGTGATGTTACTTTCTGTACACTGACTTTTACCAGACACAAGACATAAACTAGGCTCTCCACAAGGGAACGTTTCCATCTAATGTGCGAGAGTGGGGTGTATGAGAGGGTGGAATATGAGAGTGGGGCGTTGGAGCGAGTGGAATATGAGAGAGTGGGCGTGGGAGAGAGTGGGTGAGTGAGTGAGTGGGTAAGTGAGTGAGTGGTAGCTAGCAGCAGCCAAGTGTTCAGGTGTGTGTGAGGACAGCTGTATCTAACCTTGGTCCTTCTCTGCGGGCGTCACGTTGATGACCGTCCTCTGGGGTACTGTCGGCCGCTGGAGGCGGGGCGTGTCTTCGTCGTCTGCTGGCGGGGTGGGTGGAAGCTGACGTCTGTCAACACAACACAACACAACGCATCTCGTCACTCAGCAAACACAGAAAACCTCACACATCATAGAAACTTTTGAATACTGACAGTATTGCTTAATGTTTGTTTGTGTGCTGTCAGCCATGAACACTAGGCCAGACAAACCAGTGATTAACACAAAGACTAACATCCCATGTAGTCAGAGTATGACACAGCAGGTCTGTTTGTCTGTTGCTTAATGCCACCCTCAGCGCTATTCAAGCAATATGACTGCAGTCTGAAATATTTGTTTGTTTGTTTGTTTGTTGTTTAACGCCGCACTCAGCAGTATTCCAGCCATATGACGGCGGTCTGTAAAAAAAATCGAGTCTGGACCAGACAATCCAGTGATTGACATCATGAGCATCGATCTAAGCAATTGGGATCGATGACATGTATCAACCAAGTCAGCGAGCCTGACCACCCGATCCCGTTAGTCGACTTTTACGACAAGCATAGTCGCCTTTTACGGCAAGTATGGGTTGCTGAAGACCTATTCTACCCCGGAATCTTCACGGGTCCAGTCTGAAATAATCTAGTCTGGACCAGTTTCTGGTGTGCCCAAGGCAAGTAACTCTACACAACAAATCAGTGCAGGCCCCCCTGCCCACCAACAAGTGACGGGAAGCTTATGCCGAGGTAGGACGTCGATAAGGATTCAAACTCTTAGAACATTAATGCTTTCCTTCACGCCACTGTACCACACACCAATTTCTTTGTTTTCTGTCAGTACTGCTGAAAACTATTCCCCAAATTCCACAATGCGGATCCTGGCATAACTAAGGGCCACAACTCAGCACAGTGAACAACGACCTTTAAGTGATGTGGTAGGGAAGTGTGTAGGGGACATAGTACGAGGAGGTTTTGGTGATTTGATAGGGGAGTGAGTAGGGGACAACCTACCTCGGAGGTTTTGGCGATGTGGTTGGGGAGTGAGCAGGCGACATAGTACGAGGAGGAACCGGAGGCGGCACGTCTCTTTTTGACGTGTGCGGAGAATCAAACGGGGAGCTGCGATCTCTTGTATTCTGAAATAATAAAACACCATAGCTGACATCACAAACATACAAACATTTCATGTACAGTACCCACAAACATACAAAAATTCCATGTACAACACCCACAAACATACAAACATTCCAAGTACAGTACCCACAAACATACAAACATTCCATGTACAACACCCACAAACATACAAACATTCCATGTACAGTACCCACAAACATTCCATGTACAGTACCCACAAACATACAAACATTCCATGTACCGTACCCACAAACATACAAACATTCCATGTACAACACCCACAAACATACAAACATTCCAAGTACAACACCCACAAACATACAAACATTCCATGTACAGTACCCACAAACATTCCATGTACAGTACCCACAAACATACAAACATTCCATGTACCATACCCACAAACATACAAACATTCCATGTACAACACCCACAAACATACAAACATTCCATGTACCGTACCCGCAAACATATAAACATTCCATGTACAGTACCCACAACCATACAAATATTCCATGTACAGTACCCACAAACATACAAACATTCCATGTACAGAAATCCCTTATACCCCACTTCAAACAAAGTGCTTACAAGTCAATGAAAGCTCAATCGATTGTTCTATCAATTTTTAATTTGCTTTCATTCTATCACAATGGCAGATTGAGTGAGTTGGGTTTAACACCACTTCTAACAATATTCCAGTTATATCGCGGCGTGTCAGCTTAATGTGGGAGGAAAGCCTGAAATGATGCAGGTCTCACACGTCTACCACTTGGGTGAAACCCACGAGTACGGGTATGGTGCTGACAAACCTAGAAACATAATAGGGGCGAACCGGGATTCAAACCCACAATCATAGGTTTCCGGCGTGCCCAAGGGACGCAACTCCGCACAGCGAATCGCAGCACCTTTGACGATTGGGCCACCCGTGCCTCCCAATGGCAGATTGAAACATGTCGCCAAGAAAAATATGTTGCACAAGTATCACAGGTTTTATACCACTTGCCTAAGGTTGTGGCATAAAACCTAACATCACATATACCCCATGTGATACTGCTACAACGTATAATATACAAGAGCACTATATGGCTAAATGCTAAGTGAACAACTCACTCTGTCTCGGGGGCTGACCGACAGGGCATGTAATGTAGTCGTCCCACCGTCCTGAAATGCAATGTCACGGATAGAAATGGATTCTTTTCAAGTGTGCCACGAACTCATTTATGGATTTTTAGAAAGGTTGGTTGGTTGGTTGTTTAACGCCGCACTCAGCAATATTCCAGCTATATGACGGCGGTCTGTATAAATAATCGAGTCTGGACCAGACAATCCAGTGATTGATAACATGAGCATGGATCCACGCAATTGGGATCGATGACATGTATCAACCAAGTCAGCGAGTCTGACCACCCGATCCCGTTAGTCAACTTTTACGACAAGCATAGTCGCCTTTTACGGCAAGTATGGGTTGCTGAAGACCTATTCTACCCCGGAATCTTCACGGGTTTTTAGAAAGGCCAACCAGACGAAAAAATTTCAATTAAAAGCATTAATAGGTTATTTGAAATACAGTAGTTTAAGCAAGTTCCTCACTGAACTCTTGTACTCAAACAATAACATGTATCCGAGGTAGACGGTGGTGCATTATTGGATACTTCTGCATTGACAATACAAGTCAGTGTGTGGGTCCACAACGTTTATTCTATGATAGTATGCAGCTACATCATATCCATGGCCATGGCCTCGGGTTAGCCTCTCAGAGGCGTACGAGAGCCAACCTGCCTAGCAGTCAAGTCTCGACTCACAGAAAGCGTACTATATTTAACTGCTGCTGTTATAATTTGTTTTGAGAAAGCACTGTGTATATCTAGATAGATGTATTTAACTTACTTAACTGAGGGAATATATCAAACATATATAGACTCACTGTTAAAATATATATAGTCTCCAGCGGTAGAAACACTAGCCCTTATAATGACAACATACAGCAAAACCCTTAAAAATGGCAAATTTCTACTAGTCCTTATGATACCTTAATTATTGGGCAGTTTGGCAAGGACTATAGGACTAGTGCCAATTTCTAACGCTGGACTCCCTGTTAAAACCTATACCCCACCAAACTGCCTATGATCCATGTGCTATACATTTATTTCTACAAATGGCCAAAGATATCCGTCTGTGTGTCTGTGTGCCAGGTTACAAATGTCCAAATCACTGGCTTCACTGTTTTTCACACATCCAAGATCAACATGGCCTCTAGTCCCTTAGTCAGAGACTAGTGGTTGGTTGGTTGGTTGTTTAACGCCACACTCAGCAATATTCCAGTTATATGCCGGCGGTCTGTAAATAATCGAGTCTGGACCAGACAATCCAGTGACTGATATCATGAACATCAATCCACGCAATTGGGATCGATGACATGCATCATCCAAGTCAGCGAGCCTGACCACCCGATCCTGTTAGTCGCCTTTACGACAAGCATAGTCGCCTTATACGGCAAGCATGGGTTGCTGAAGATCTATTCTACCCCGGAATCTTCACGGGTCTCAGAGACTAGTGAAAATATAGACAGACTAGTTGTTTTTATCCAAAATCTACTTATGATACACAAACCAATAGTCAAAATTGTCGGCTAGTTGGATATGACCAATGGCAGGAGTTATTGTTATCGAATTATCAATGTATTGCAATTGTTTGTCCTTCAATAGCACCATAACGATAGAACATACAACTGCCAATAGCAATGGCGATAGTATGAACAACAATCGATAGTTTCAATAGTTTCAAATGGTATTAAATAAAACATAAATCAATCAAATTTCAAACATGATTTAGAGTTACTTCCCTTTGGTTTGAGTAAGTGAGTGAGTGAGTTGGGTTTAACGCCGCTTTTAACAGTATTCCAGTTATATCACGGCGTGTCAGCTTAATGTGGGAGGAAAGCCCGAAGTGATGCAGGTCTCAGACGTTTACCACTTCGGTGAAACCCACGAGCACGGGTATCGTGCTGACAAACCTAGAAACATAATTGGGGCGAACCAGGATTCGAACCCACAATCATAGGTTTCTGGCGTGCCCAAGGGACGCAACTCTGCACAGCGAATCGCGGCGCCTTAGACGACTGGGCCACCGGTGCCCCCCACCCTTTGGTTTGAGCAGCGACAGGGAGAAAAATGTCTGACTTTGAGATTGTCAGCAATACATTTTTCATTTTTCTTACATCGATTGATATAATTATCAAGCCTTTAGGCTGGTTTAATACTATTGCAATAGTGTGGGGTACAGGAGCAGTACAATCGCAATAGTGAAATTAGCCCTAATAGTCATCCCAATAAACCCATGGTGTCTACCCAGCAACCAATGCTTGTTGAGAGGCGACTAACGAGATCGCGTGGTCAGACTCGCTGACTTGGTTGATGCATGTCATCGTATCACAATTGTGTGGACTGATGCTCATGATGTCAATCACTGGATTATCTGGTCTAGACTCGATTATTTACAGACCGCCGTCATATAGCTGGGATATTGCTGAGTGTGGCGTTAAACAACAAACAAACTAATAAACATAATGGACCAATAATACACTGAATGTATAGTCTCACATCATCATCCTCTATGTCCATGGTGTGGTTGTGTCTGGGCTCCACCTTGAGGCTCCCCGACGGGTGGAAGGCGTCCACTATCACCTGCTCGGTGCCCTTGATCTCAGTACGACAGAAAGGACAACTTTGCCCATCAGAATCCTGTAACAGACAGAGAAATTAGAGACATGTACAGAGTTGTCTCCCTTTGGCCAGACATGCTGCAGAAAATATTTCACTGTTAAATTTAGATACATCATTAGAAAATTGGTGAGGTGAGGTGAGGTGAGGGTAGGTGAAATTGGGTTTAACGTTGCGTCCAAGATTATTGCACTTATATAGCGACGTGCATGCACGTGTATGTGTGTGTGTGGCTGCTTGTACTAGTCCGGACTGATGCCGATTTATAGTGCTAGCTCACTGAGATACCATGCCGCAGTTTAACATGAATACCCCACTCAGACACAGTATACTGACTCCGAGCCGACCAGTCCTTGTTTTAGCCCCTTAATGCCGAGCACCAGACAGGGTAACAACAAGTACCATCTTTTAACGTCTTTTGGTATGACGCGGCCGGGGATCAAACCCCGGACCTTCCGCTCTCCGGGCGGACGCTCTACCACTAGACCACGGAGGCGGTCTCTTATAAAATTGGAGCTTCTTCTCTATCATATTTGAGTTTTATTCATGAATTTTTCTGATGAATAGTGAGTGACTGATGTTTTGACCAGTGTCAGTGTACAGTGTGTGTCAGTGGTGGGCCTCACCTGCCACTGTGTGAGACAAGGGGTACAGAGTGTGTTAGTGGTGGGCCTCACCTGCCACTGTGTGAGACAAGGGGTACAGAGGAGGTGGCCGCATGGCTCGATGCGGATGTCCTTGTCGTTCTCGGCACAGATCTTGCAGAGTTGGAAGGTGGAGCCCATCTCGCAGTACAGCTCGTACTGTTCCTGCGTCACCTTGATGTGGTCCTCCTGGCTGTCCTGAACCAGGAAACTCAGGTCCGGGTTGATGTGGCGACCGTCAGGGTACAGGAAGCTGAAACAGACGCAGGTTCTGGGAATCAGTGGGGTTTTATCACTTATCAATTATCATAGGTTTTCAAAATTATGAATGGGAATTAATGGGTCCATGTCATAAAACTAAGGTCCAGGGATTCCAAGTACAAAAGCAGCAAACTCAAAGGACTGAAGAAACACCTCCCTCTGCCCTGACACAGACACTGGTGCTATACTTACAAGCCCTCCCTCTGCCCTGACACAGACACTGGTGCTATACTTATAAGCCCTGCATCTGCCCTGACACAGACACTGGTGCTATACGTACAAGCCCTCCCTCTGCCCTGACACAGACACTGGTGCTATACTTAACAAGCCTTCCCTCTGCCCTGACACAGACACTGGTGCTATACTTACAAACCCTCCCTCTGCCCTGACACAGACACTGGTCCTATACTTACAAGCCCTCCATCTGCCCTGACACAGACACTGGTCCTATACTTACAAGCCCTCCCTCTGCCCTGACACAGACACTGGTGCTATACTTACAAGCCCTCCCTCTGCCCTGACACAGACACTGGTGCTATACTTACAAGCCCTCCCTCTGCCCTGACACAGACACTGGTGCTATACCTACAAGCCCTCCCTCTGCCCTGACACAGACACTGGTGCTATACGTACAAGCCCTCCCACTGCCCTGACACAGACACTGGTGCTATACTTACAAGCCCTCCCTCTGCCCTGACACAGACACTAGTGCTATACTTACAAGCCCTCCCCCGCCCTGACACAGACACTGGTGCTCTACTTACAAGCCTTCCCTCTGCCCTGACACAGACACTGGTGCTATACTTACAAGCCCTCCCCCGCCCTGACACAGACACTGGTGCTATACTTACAAGCCTTCCCTCTGCCCTGACACAGACACTGGTGCTATACTTACAAGCCTTCCCTCTGCCCTGACACAGACACTGGTGCTATATGTACAAGCCCTCCCTCTGCCCTGACACAGACACTGGTGCTATACTTACAAGCCCTCCCTCTGCCCTGACAGACACTGGTGCTATACTTACAAGCACTCCATCTGCCCTGGCACAGACACTGGTGCTATATGTACAAGCCCTCCCTCTGCCCTGACACAGACACTGGTGCTATACTTACAAGCCTTCCCTCTGCCCTGACACAGACACTGGTGCTCTACTTACAAGCCTTCCCTCACCCTGACACAGACACTGGTGCTATATGTACAAGCACTCCCTCTGCCCTGACACAGACACTGATGCTATACTAACAAGCCTTCCCTCTGCCCTGACACAGACACTGGTGCTATACTTACAAGCCTTCCCTCTGCCCTGACACAGACACTGGTGCTATACTTACAAGCCCTCCCTCTGCCCTGACACAGACACTTGTGCTATACTTACAAGCCTTCCCTCTGCCCTGACACAGACACTGGTGCTATACTTACAAGCCCTGCATCTGCCCTGACACAGACACTTGTGCTATACTTACAAGCCTTCCCTCTGCCCTGACACAGACACTGGTGCTATACTTACAAGCCCTGCATCTGCCCTGACACAGACACTGGTGCTATACGTACAAGCCCTCCCTCTCCCCTGACACAGACACTGGTGCTATACGTACAAGCCCTCCCTCTGCCCTGACACAGACACTGGTCCTATACTTACAAGCCCTCCCTCTGCCCTGACACAGACACTGGTGCTATACTTACAAGCCCTCCCTCTGCCCTGACACAGACACTGGTGCTATACTTACAAGCCCTGCATCTGCCCTGACACAGACACTGGTGCTATACTTACAAGCCCTGCATCTGCCCTGACACAGACAGTAGTGCTATACTTACAAGCCCTCCCTCTGCCCTGACACAGACACTGGTGCTATACTTACAAGCCCTCCCTCTGCCCTGACACAGACACTGGTGCTATACCTACAAGCCCTCCCTCTGTCCTGACACAGACACTGGTGCTATACTTACAAGCCCTCCCTCTGCCCTGACACAGACACTGGTGCTATACGTACAAGCCCTCCATCTGCCCTGACACAGACACTGGTGCTATACTTACAAGCCCTCCCTCTGCCCTGACACAGACACTGGTGCTATACTTACAAGCCCTCCATCTGCCCTGACACAGACACTGGTGCTAAACGTACAAGCCCTCCCTCTGCCCTGACACAGACACTGGTGCTATACGTACAAGCCTTCCCTCTGCCCTGACACAGACACTGGTCCTATACTTACAAGCCCTCCCTCTGTCCTGACACAGACACTGGTGCTATACTTACAAGCCCTCCCTCTGCCCTGACACAGACACTGGTGCTATACTTACAAGCCCTCCCTCTGCCCTGACACAGACACTGGTGCTATACTTACAAGCCCTCCCTCTGCCCTGACACAGACACTGGTCCTATACTTACAAGCCCTGCATCTGCCCTGACACAGACACTGGTGCTATACTTACAAGCCCTCCCTCTGCCCTGACACAGACACTGGTCCTATACTTACAAGCCCTCCCTCTGCCCTGACACAGACACTGGTGCTATACTTACAAGCCCTCCCTCTGCCCTGACACAGACACTGGTGCTATACGTACAAGCCTTCCCTCTGCCCTGACACAGACACTGGTGCTTACTTACAAGCCCTCCCTCTGCCCTGACACAGACACTGGTGCTATACTAACAAGCCTTCCCTCTGCCCTGACACAGACACTGGTGCTATACTTACAAGCCCTCCCTCTGCCCTGACACAGACACTGGTGCTATACGTACAAGCCCTCCCTCTGCCCTGACACAGACACTGGTGCTATACGTACAAGCCTTCCCTCTGCCCTGACACAGACACTGGTGCTTACTTACAAGCCCTCCCTCTGCCCTGACACAGACACTGGTGCTATACTAACAAGCCTTCCCTCTGCCCTGACACAGACACTGGTGCTATACTTACAAGCCCTCCCTCTGCCCTGACACAGACACTGGTGCTATACGTACAAGCCCTCCCTCTGCCCTGACACAGACACTGGTGCTATACGTACAAGCCTTCCCTCTGCCCTGACACAGACACTGGTCCTATACTTACAAGCCCTCCCTCTGCCCTGACACAGACACTGGTGCTATACTTACAAGCCCTCCTTCTGCCCTGACACAGACACTGGTGCTATACTTACAAGCCCTCCCTCTGCCCTGACACAGACACTGGTGCTATTCGTACAAGCCCTCCCTCTGCCCTGACACAGACACTGGTCCTATACTTACAAGCCCTCCCTCTGCCCTGACACAGACACTGGTGCTATACTTACAAGCCCTCCCTCTGCCCTGACACAGACACTAGTGCTATACGTACAAGCCCTCCATCTGCCCTGACACAGACACTGGTGCTAAACGTACAAGCCCTCCCTCTGCCCTGACACAGACACTGGTGCTATACGTACAAGCCTTCCCTCTGCCCTGACACAGACACTGGTCCTATACTTACAAGCCCTCCCTCTGTCCTGACACAGACACTGGTCCTATACTTACAAGCCCTGCATCTGCCCTGACACAGACACTGGTGCTATACTTACAAGCCCTCCCTCTGCCCTGACACAGACACTGGTGCTAAACGTACAAGCCCTCCCTCTGCCCTGACACAGACACTGGTGCTATACGTACAAGCCTTCCCTCTGCCCTGACACAGACACTGGTCCTATACTTACAAGCCTTCCCTCTGCCCTGACACAGACACTGGTGCTTTACTTACAAGCCCTGCATCTGCCCTGACACAGACACTGGTGCTATACTTACAAGCCCTCCCTCTGCCCTGACACAGACACTAGTGCTATACTTACAAGCCCTCCCTCTGCCCTGACACAGACACTGGTGCTATACTTACAAGCCCTCCCTCTGCCCTGACACAGACACTGGTGCTTACTTACAAGCCCTGCATCTGCCCTGACACAGACACTGGTGCTATACTTACAAGCCCTCCCTCTGCCCTGACACAGACACTGGTGCTATACTTACAAGCCCTCCCTCTGCCCTGACACAGACACTGGTCCTATACTAACAAGCCTTCCCTCTGCCCTGACACAGACACTGGTGCTATACTTACAAGCCCTCCCTCTGCCCTGACACAGACACTGGTGCTATACTTACAAGCCCTCCCTCTGCCCTGACACAGAGACTGGTGTTATACTTAGAAGCCCTCCCTCTGCCCTGACACAGACACTGGTGCTTACTTACAAGCCTTCCCTCTGCCCTGACACAGACACTGGTGCTATACTTACAAGCCCTCCCTCTGCCCGTCCAGCAGCGCCTGACACAGAGACTTGTTCTGAGGGATGGTCTGAAGAATCTGCTTGTCTGACGTCACATAGCCAATGGCCCACTGTCCCAGCCTTGTGCAGCTGAGCCGAAACACGTAGCTGTAGACAGAAATCAGGACAATTAGTCAACAAAAACACAGAAAAGAAAACAAAGAAATCAAACATATTTCAGGACATCATAATGCTCAAGATTGAATAATGTTTCAGATGGCAGCAGAACGGCAAAGAGATTGTAATGGGTTGACCTAAAGAAAACTACATGCATCAGCTTCATGGTTTAGTCAGCTCTTGCAACAAGATTGGGTACCAGGCAACCTTCTCTCACTTATTCCACCTCCCTGCAATTATAAACTTTTCACTCTCTTCTTTTCCCTACTCATTCTCAGCCAGTGACTCTCCCTTCTTCCCTCACAAGATCAGGCGTCCTCCTGCCTTCCCTCACAAGCTCTGACGTTCTTCTGCCTTCCCTCACAAGCTCTGATGTCCTCCTGCCTTCCCTTTCAAGCTCTGACGTCCTCCTGCCTTCCCTTTCAAGCTGACGTTCTCCTGCCTTCCCTCACAAGCCCAGACATTCTCCTGCCTTCCCTCACAAGCTGACGTCCTCCTGCCATCCCTTTCAAGCTGACGTCCTCCTGCCTTCCCTCACAAGCTCTGACGTCCTCCTGCCTTCCCTTTTAAGCTGACGTCCTCCTGCCTTCCCTTTCAAGCTCAGACATCCTCCTGCCTTCCCTTTCAAGCTCTGACGTCCTCCTGCCTTCCCTTTCAAGCTGACATTCTCCTGCCTTCCCTTTCAAGCTCTGACATCCTCCTGCCTTCCCTTTTAAGCTGACGTCCTCCTGCCTTCCCTTTCAAGCTCAGACATCCTCCTGCCTTCCCTTTCAAGCTCTGACGTCCTCCTGCCTTCCCTTTCAAGCTGACGTCCTCCTGCCTTCCCTTTCAAGCTCAGACGTCCTCCTGCCGTTCCTCACAAGCTCTGACGTCCTCCTGCCTTCCCTCACAAGCTCAGCCGTTCTCCTGCCTTCCCTCACAAGCTCTGAAGTCCTCCTGCCTTCCCTCTCAAGCTCAGATGTTCTCCTGCCTTCCCTTTCAAGCTCTGACATCCTCCTGCCTTCCCTTTCAAGCTCTGACGTCCTCCTGCCTTCCCTCACAAGCTCAGCCGTTCTCCTGCCTTCCCTCACAAGCTCTGACGTCCTCCTGCCTTCTCTCTCAAGCTCAGATGTTCTCCTGCCTTCCCTTTCAAGCTCTGACGTCCTCCTGCCTTCCCTTTCAAGCTCTGACGTCCTCCTGCCTTCCCTTTCAAGCTCTGACGTCCTCCTGCCTTCCCTTTCAAGCTCTGACGTCCTCCTGCCTTCCCTCACAAGTTCAGCCGTTCTCCTGCCTTCCCTCACAAGCTCTGACGTCCTCCTGCCTTCCCTCTCAAGCTCAGATGTTCTCCTGCCTTCCCTTTCAAGCTCTGACGTCCTCCTGCCTTCCCTTTCAAGCTCTGACGTCCTCCTGCCTTCCCTTTCAAGCTCTGACGTCCTCCCTTTCAAGCTCTGACGTCCTCCTGCCTTCCCTTTCAAGCTCTGACGTCCTCCTGCCTTCCCTCACAAGTTCAGCCGTTCTCCTGCCTTCCCTCACAAGCTCTGACGTCCTCCTGCCTTCCCTCTCAAGCTCAGATGTTCTCCTGCCTTCCCTTTCAAGCTCTGACGTCCTCCTGCCTTCCCTTTCAAGCTCTGACGTCCTCCTGCCTTCCCTCTAAAGCTGACGTTCTCCTGCCTTCCCTCACAAGCTCTGACGTCCTCCTGCCCTCCCTCACAAGCTCTGATGTCCTCCTGCCTTCCCTTTCAAGCTGACGTCCTCCTGCCTTCCCTCACAAGCTCTGACGTCCTCCTGCCTTCCCTCACAAGCTCTGATGTCCTCCTGCCTTCCCTCTCAAGCTCTGACGTCCTCCTGCCTTCCCTCTCAAGCTCTGACGTCCTCCTGCCTTCCCTCTCAAGCTCTGACATCCTCCTGCCTTCCCTTTCAAGCTGACGTCCTCCTGCCTTCCCTCACAAGCTCTGACGTCCTCCTGCCTTCCCTCACAAGCTCTGACGTCCTCCTGCCTTCCCTCTCAAGCTGACGTCCTCCTGCCTTCCCTCACAAGCGCTGACGTCCTCCTGCCTTCCCTCACAAGCTCTGACGTCCTCCTGCCTTCCCTTTCAAGCTGACGTCCTCCTTCCTTCCCTTTCAAGCTGACGTCCTCCTGCCTTCCCTTTCAAGCTCAGACATCCTCCTGCCTTCCCTCACAAGCTCTGACGTCCTCCTGCCTTCCCTCTCAAGGTCTGACGTCAAAATTTACAGGCCACTGTCATATAGCTAGGATACTACTGAGTGGGACACAGACAGAAAGACAGACACAGACACAGACACAGACACACACACACATACACACACACACACACACACACACACACACACACACACACACACATACACACACACACACACACTGTCGTAAGTCTATGTCAAAGCATGGGAGTTGCGATTGTCTTAGCGCTAAGATTGCTTTGTGGAATGTTGCCCCCTACTTGTATGTTGTACACACCTCCCTGGTTTGTTGATGTAATTCTTTAGTCTAGCCTTCACCTCGTCATACGTGAGGAACGCCACGTAGCCAGGATGCGTGACGGCCAAAACGTTCCAGTTGCGCAGCAAATTATTCCAAGGCTGAAACAATCTGGAAGAAAACATTGCTAGTGTTAAAATAGCCATAGATGAATGAAATCAAAAAGATCAATACAAGGAAATACAAGTTGTTATTTTGTTCATTTACAAGAAAGGCAAAAATATATTTAAAATATTAATCCTATCTTGTGAAGACATCAAACACTGATATATTGCCGTATATCCTACCTTGTGATGACAACGCTAATATATTGCTGTATATCCTACCTTGTGAAGACATCAAACACTGACATATTGCTGTGTATCCTACCTTGTGAAGACATCAAACACTGATATATTGCTGTGTATCCTACCTTGTGAAGACATCAAACACTGATATAGTGCCGTATATCCTACCTTGTGAAGACATCAAACACTGACATAGAAATTGGCACTAGTCCTATAGTCCTTACCAAACTGCCCAATAGTAAAGGTATTCTAAGGACTAGTAGAAATTGGCCCATTTTAAAGGTTTTGCTATATGTTATTATTATAAGGACTAGTGGACAAAAACTGTTAGTTTCTAACCCTGACTGACATATTGCCGTTTATCCGACCTTGTGAAGACATCAAACACTGATATATTGCCATATATCCTACCTTGTGAAGACATCAAACACTGATATATTGCCATATATCCTGCCTTGTGAATACATCAAACACTGACATATTGCCGTATATCCTACCTTGTGAAGACATCAAACACTGACATATTGCTGTGTATCCTACCTTGTGAAGACATCACACACTGATATATTGCCATATATCCTACCTTATAAAGAAATCGAACACTGACATATTGCTGTGTATCCTACCTTGTGAAGACATCAAACTCAAACACTGATATGTAGTCGTTACACGTAAGGTCGATGGTGGACTTGAGCGCCATGGCCTCCAAGGAGGTGCTGATGGAGTGAGTCTCATTTAGTGTGCTGCGAAAATCTTTCCAGGACACAATGATTCTGTAACAGAAGAAAATGTATTAGACCACAGCTACTTGTCTCTCAGAAATGTGCAGATACAGCATGATGTCAAAGTACTGCAGCATTAAACCAGCCTCAGAAACTCGCCTTTTTCAGACTAGCCGAGAGGACTGTAGAAACCTTATTTCACTGGTACTTTCAATTATTTTGAGTACAAAAACCATGCATTAAATGAAAAAGTCAAATGTATAAAAACAGCTTGCGTAAAAACCCAATGAAGCTTTTTCAGCACAATTAAGAGCTAATTTACTTTCCGAGTAAAGCCTATATATTTAGAACAGTTACATACATCTTAAACATTCTTTCATTTTTTTTAAATCTTAAAATGTTCACTAATTTGGGGGAAAAGCCATAGAGTGATGAATAGATGAGTGAAAAATTATTGGTTACCCAATTGAAATAGAAACCCTAGAGTAAAAACTCTATTGCTCAAAAAATTATCTGGAGCTCTGGTCATGCTTGAGCAAGCTAAGAATGTACACTATGTTTTTCAAAGCTGTCAATTTTCCTCAGTTCCAGTGTGTAGTAAGGTTAAAGTATTGAGAACTGGTTCAGGCCCCTCAACTGCTGCTAGTCACGAGGAGTGCCATGATTGGATTTTCACTAGTCCTCAGCACAATTTGGTAGCCTTGGGCTTGCAGACTAGTGTGAATTTCTAAGGCCGTAAACCAGTGTTGGAAAAAAAGGAAGGCCTGGGTTTCTTGAGATTCTACAGTAGTTCTAGTGAGTGAGTGAGTATGGTTTTACGCCGCTTTTAGCAATATTCCAGCAATATCACGGCGGGGACACCAGAAATGGGCTTCACACATTGTACCCATGTCGGGAATCGGACCCGGGTCTTCGGCGTGACGAGCGAACGCTTTAACCACTAGGCTACCTGACCGCCCCACAGTAGTTCTAGGGACTCCTGAATACCCCTCCAGTTAACAAGATAAACAATGGGTTAGGACAGGACCCCTTGATTTTCATGCAGAATCTCAATCTCTGGAAACTAGGACACCGTGAAAAAACTGTAGGCTATACACTGTGAAAAAACTGTAGGCTATACACTGTGATAAAACTGTAGGATATACACTGTGATAAAACTGTAGGCTATACACTGTAATAAAAAGTGTAGGCTATACACTGTGATAAAACTGTAGGCTATACACTGTGATAAAACTGTAGGCTATACACTGTGATAAAACTGTAGGCTATACACTGTGATAAAAATTGTAGGCTATACACTGTGATAAAACTGTAGGATATACACTGTGATAAAACTGTAGGCTATACACTGTAATAATAATTGTAGGCTATACACTGTGATAAAACTGTAGGCTATACACTGTGATAAAACTGTTGGCTATACACTGATAAAACTGTAAGCTATACACTGTGATAAAACTGTAGGCTATACACTGTGATAAAACTGTAGGCTATACACTGGGAAAAAACTGTAGGCTATACACTGTGAAAAAACTGTAGGCTATACACTGTGATAAAACTGTTGGCTATACACTGTGATAAAACTGTTGGCTATACACTGTGAAGAAACTGATGTCAATATACTGTGATGAAACTGTTGGCTATACACTGTGATAAAACTGTAGGCTATACACTGTAATAAAAATTGTAGGCTATACACTGTGATAAAACTGTTGGCTATACACCATGATAAAGCTGTAGGCTATACACTGTGATAAAACTAGGCTATACACTGTGATAAAACTGTTGGCTATACACTGTGATAAAACTGTTGGCTATACACTGTGATAAAACTGTAGGCTATACACTGTGATAAAACTGTTGGCTATACACTGTGATAAAGCTGTAGGCTAAACACTGTGATAAAACTGTTGGCTATACACTATGATAAAACTATTGGCTATACACTGTGATAAAACTGTTGGCTATACACTATGATAAAACTATTGGCTATACACTGTGATAAAACTGTTGGCTATACACTGTGATAAAACTGTAGGCTATACACCATGATAAAACTATTGACTATACACTGTGATAAAATTGTTAGCTATACACCATGATAAAACTATTGGCTATACACCATGATAAAACTGTTGGCTATACACTGTGATAAAACTGTTGGCTATACACTGTGATAAAACTGATGGCTATATACTGTGATAACACTGTAGGCTATACACTGTGATTAAACTGTTGGCTATACACTGTGATAAAACTGATGGCTCAACACCATGATAAAACTATTGGCTATACACTGTGATAAAACTGTTGGCTATACACTGTGATAGAACTGTTGGCTATACACTGTGATAGAACTGTTGGCTAATGGCTATACACTCTGATAAAACTGTAGGCTATACACCATGATAAAACTATTGACTATACACTGTGATAAAACTGTTGGCTATACACTGTGATAAAACTGTTGGCTATACACTCTGATAAAACTGTAGGCTATACACCATGATAAAACTATTGACTATAAACCATGATAAAACTATTGGCTATACACTGTGATAAAACTATTGGCTATACACTGTGATAAAACTGTAGGCTATACACTGATAAAACTGTAAGCTATACACTGTGATAAAACTGTAGGCTATACACTGTGATAAAACTGTAGGCTATACACTGGGAAAAAACTGTAGGCTATACACTGTGAAAAAACTGTAGGCTATACACTGTGATAAAACTGATGGCTCAACACCATGATAAAACTATTGACTATACACTGTGATACAACTGTTGGCTATACACTGTGATAAAACTGTAGGCTATACACCATGATAAAACTATTGACTATACACTGTGATAAAACTGTTGGCTATACACTGTGATAAAACTGTTGGCTATACACTCTGATAAAACTGATGGCTCAACACCATGATAAAACTATTGACTATACACTGTCATACAACTGTTGGCTATACACTGTGATAAAACTGTTGGCTATACACTCTGATAAAACTGTAGGCTATACACCATGATAAAACTATTGACTATACACCATGATAAAACTATTGGCTATACACTGTGATAAAACTATTGACTATACACTGTGATAAAACTGTAGGCTATACACTGTGATAAAACTGATGGCTCAACACCATGATAAAACTATTGACTATACACTGTGATAAAACTGTAGGCTATACACCATGATAAAACTATTGGCTATACACTGTGATAAAACTGTTGGCTATACACTGTGATAAAACTGTTGGCTATACACTCTGATAAAACTGATGGATCAACACCATGATAAAACTATTGACTATACACTGGGATACAACTGTTGGCTATACACTGTGATAAAACTGTAGGCTATACACCATGATAAAACTATTGGCTATACACTGTGATAAAACTATTGGCTATACACTGTGATAAAACTGATGGCTCAACACCATGATAAAACTGATGGCTCAACACCATGATAAAACTGTTGACTATACACTTTGATAAAACTGATGGCTCAACACCATGATAAAACTGTTTTCTCAACACCGAGACAAAACTGTTGGCTATACACTGTGATAAAACTATTGGCTATACACTGTGACAAAATTGTTGGCTAAACACACCCAGATTTTTGTTTGTCTTTTATCTAAAACAGCAGTGTGCACCCATTAATGGAGGATATCATATTGATGACACTAATTCAGCCACATCAATAAACCTGCACCAATCCATTTAGTTGCCTCTCATTACAATGAGCGGTTACGGGGATCTGTTCCAACCAAGCACCACCCTTAGGGATGACAGGTGTAATGTGTGATTGGTTTGGTTGGTTTGTTGTTAACACCACACTCAGCAATATTCCAGCAATGTGACGTCAGTCTGTAAATAATCCAGTCTGGACCAGACTATCAAGTGATTGGCATCATGAACATCGATCCACGCAATTGGGATACAATGACATGCATCAACCAAGTCAGTGAGCCTGACCACCCAGTCTTGTTAGTCCCTTCTTATGACAAGCATAGTCGCCTTTTACAGCAGCTTGGATTGGACCTCCAGTGGTATCAAATTGAGAGGAATTTACAGGTATCAAATCTACATTGACAACCTCTAAATTGAGAAGCAGTACTGAGATAGGTTTTTAAGTTCATATCAAAGGCAATTTTCATTCGACCCACACTTATGAGTGAGTGAGTTGAGTTTAACGCCGCTTTTAACAGTATTCCAGTTATATCGCGGCATGTCAGCTTAATGTGGGAGGAAAGCCCGAAATGATGCAGGTCTCAGACGTTTACCACTTCGGTGAAACCCACGAGCACGGGTATGGTGCTGACAAACCTAGAAACATAATCGGGGTGAACCGGGATTCGAACTCACAATCATAGGTTTCTGGCGTGCCCAAGGGACGCAACTCTGCACAGCGAATCGCGGCCCCTTAGATGACTGGGCCACCCGTGCCCCCCTCCAACACTTATGATGGATCACTGCATTGGTGTATGTCCAAACTTCCGTTCTCTTCAAACTGAAGTTTTTGTTTTAAAGCGCTTTGAATACACTTGACCCTGACCAAGAAAAACTATGAATTTATGTCCTGTTGATGACAAACTCTGCACTGTATTTTAGAATAATAATATTCAAGTAAGGAAGTACGTTACTGCAGTCTCGTTAGCCCTCTACTTCGTCAATTCTAAACACTCCCACACCACCGGCACACTTCAAAATGTATCACAACAAATATTTTATATCAGTTCTCTCCTCAACCATAGGTATGTGTTATTTCTATTTTTTATTATATTCATCATTCGGCCCACTCCCTACACCTGAGCCTGAGCCTGAGTGGAGTGGAGTGGAGTGGAGTGGAGTGGAGTGGAGTGGAGTGGAGTGGAGTGGAGTGGAGTGGAGTGGAGTGGAGTGGAGTGGAGTGGAGTGGAGTGATTGAATGAGTGAGTGAGTGAAGTGACTGTGTGAGTGAGTGAGTGAGTGAGTGAGTGAGTGAGTGAGTCAAGTGACTGTGTGAGAGAGTTGGGTTTTAATGCGTGTCAGCCAGCTTAATGTGGGAGGAAAGACCAAAGTGATGCAGGTCTCAGACGTTTACCACTTTGGTAAAACCCACGAGCACGGGCACGGTGCTGACAAACCTAGAAACATAATCAGGGCGAACCAGGATTTCAACCCACAATCATAGGTTTCTGGTGTGCCCAAGGGACGCAACTCTGCACAGGGAATTGCAGAGCTTTAGACGACTGGGCCAACCGTGCCCCAGCTGAGCATGGAGATTTGAATCAATCATGGAACATCTACATAACCATAGGAGGCGTTTGGATAGCCTAGTGGCTAAAGCGTTTGCTTGGAATGCCGAACGCCCGGGTTCGATTCGCCACATGGGTTGCAATGTGTGAAGCCCATTTCTGGTGTCACGCCGTGAAATTGCTGGAATAATGCTAATACCAGTGTAAGACCATACTCACTTAGATAACAATAGTATTATCACACATAACCATAGTATAATCACACATAACAACAGTATAATCACACATAACAATGGTATTATCAGCCCTTAACCTCACCCAGTGTTTAATGAATTCATCTTCCGGCCCCCTCCCTTGCAGCTCAGCCTGGAGATGAGAAACACATAATAAAGTGGATGGATGTACGATCTTGAGTGGGGTTTAACACCGCTTTTAACAGTATTCCAGTTATATCACAGTGTGTCAGCTTAATGTGAGAGGAAAGCCCGAAGCGATGCAGGTCTCAGACGTTTACCACTTCGGTGAAACCCACGAGCACGGGTGTGATGCTGACAAACCTAGAAACATAATCGGGGCGAACCAGGATTCGAAACCCACAATCATAGGTTGCTGGCGTGCCCAAGGGACGCAACTCTGCACAGCGAATCGCGGCACCTTAGACGACTGGGCCACCCGTGCCCCCGGACTTACAAACAGTCATGGGACATCTACATGGCACAGCAGTATCAGCCCTGAACCTCACCCAGTGTCTAACAACAACCCGTGAAGATCCGGGGTAGAATAGGTCTTCAGCAACCCATGTTTGTAGTAAAAGGCGACTATGCTTGTAGTAAAAGGCGACTAACAGGATCTGGTGGTCAGGCATGCTGACTTGGTTGATGCATGTCATAGATCTCAATTGTGTGGATCGATGCTCATGACGTCAATCACTGGATTGTCTGGTCCAGACTCGATTATTTACAGACTGCCGTCATATAGCCATGATAGCTGGAATATGCTTGGTGCGGCGTTAAACAACAAACAAACAACCAACCAGTGTCTAACATGTCTAATATCATGCATGTGTGTAAGGAAAACATGTACTTCCTCGTGTGTGTGATACCAGTTAGGGAGTGTTATGAGATAATATACCATGGCTGCAATTACACACAGAATCAACTGTTTTCCTCATCCTGCTCTAGTCACCTATTTATCTTTAACACACCTTCACATGGCTTTTTGTGACACAAATCAAACTCAGCGAGTCCTTTTATTGTGATAATATACAGCAAAACCCTTAAAATGGGCACATTTCCACCAGTCCTCATGATATAAGGCTTCTGGGCAGTTTGGCAAGGACTATAGGTCTTGTGCCAATTTCAAAAGCTGATACTTAGAGACTACAGGGTTCCCATTGATTATATGCTCACCACCAAAAGAAACGCAAACTATAGAAACATGTGGAGAAGTTTATAAGCTGAGAAGAGATGTTTCTAATCTGTACCACTGACTGAGTGAGTGAGTGAGTGAGTGAGTGAGTGAGTGAGTGAGTGAGTGAGTGAGTGAATGGGTGAGTGAGTGAGTGAGTTGGGTTTAACGCCGCTTTAAACAGTATTACAGTTATATCGCGGCGTGTCAGCTTAACGTAGGAGAAAAGCCTTGTAGATTTAGCCTCGCTAAATTGAATTTGGCTTGTGAGTGAGTGAGTTGGGTTTAACGCCGCTTTTAACAGTATTCCAGTCATATCACGGCGTGTCAGCTTAATGTGGGAGGAAAGCCCGAAGTGATGCAGGTCTCAGACGTTTACCACTTCGGTGAAACCCAAGAGCACGGGTATGGTGCTGACAAACCTAGGAACATAATCGGGGCGAACCGGGATTCGAACCCACAATCATAGCTTTCTGGCATGCCTAAGGGACACAACTCTGCACAGCGAATCCTGGCACCACGTGCCCCAAACTTCATTTATACCAGTCAACAGAATAAACATATAAGCTGGGTGTTGTTTTTAGGAAAACACTGTTTATTGTTATTATGGAAGTGCTTTACCCAGTGCTAGTAAGCGGTGCTATTTTTTGTTTGCTTGGATTAATGGAAGGATATGTATCAACCCACTAGGGATGGGGTGGGGAGGAGTCGCAATTTTTGCTAGGGGGTCAGCAGTCGTATTAATTTGGAGACACATTAATTTCAAGATTTAGTTGTGTCCCTTGGGCACGCAAGAAACCTATGATTGTGGGTTCGAATCCCGGTTCGCCCCGATTATGTTTCTAGGTTTGTCAGCACCATACCCGTGCTCGTGGGTTTCACCGAAGTGGTCAACGTCTGAGACCTGCATCACTTCGGGCTTTCCTCCCACAGTAAGCTGACACGCCGTGATATGACTGGAATACTTTTAAAAGCGGTGTTAAACCCAACTCACTCACTCACACTCCAAATTCAATTTAGCACGGCTAAATCTACAAGGCTTTCCTCCCACATTAAACTGACATGCCGTGATATGACTGGAATACTGTTAAAAGTGGCGTTAAACCCAACGCACTCACTCACACTCCAAATTCAATTTAGCACGGCTAAATCTACAAGTAACCAAGTTCAACACCCAAACCACAGCACGTTAATCTCCTGATTGATCACTCTTTCAAACTTACGGCCAATCTTGAAACAACAAATTCCCAACACTACTTGTCATGTGTAGTGGGGACGGAAGTGATGTGCGGTTTCTCTTTCACCACGAAAAACATGACGAGCACATCACATGAATATCTACATTCCTCTGGCATCGTGTCCGTGTCATACAACAAAGTGAAACTACTGATAAACTACTGATGTCCACACCTCCAATCAATGTCACACAGGAAACTTTGATATAAAGATCACACCCTGTCTGAACAGGGTGATATCCTGGTCACTGTATCATATATCATATTTGAAATGTAAATATTACTATTATGATTATTGCTGCGTACACTGATTGTTCTAAATGCTGGTTTCACAAAATTAATTCAGGTAGACAAATGAATAAACAGAAGAGTGACTAGTCCCATATAACACCTTGATAAGCCTTTTATTTTTCATTATTGTTTGACAAAAGATGTGGCCTTAAAGTCAATGTAGGTGGTTGGTGAGGTGAGGTGAGGTGAGGTGAGGTGAGGTGAGGTGAGGTGAGGTGAGGTGAGGTGAAATTGGGTTTAACGTTGCGTCCAAGATTATTGCACTTATATAGCAACGTGCATGCACGTGTATGTGTGTGTGTGGCTGCTTGTACTAGTCCGGACTGATGCCGATTTATAGTGCTAGCTCACTGAGATACCATGCCGCAGTTTAACATGAATACCCCACTCAGACACAGTATACTGACTCCGAGCCGACCAGTCCTTGTTTTAGCCCCTTAATGCCGAGCGCCAGACAGGGTAACAACAAGTACAATCTTTTAACGTCTTTTGGCATGACGCGGCCCGGGATCAAACCCTGGACCTTCCGCTCTCCGGGCGGACGCTCTACCACTAGACCATGTAGGTGGTTGGAAATGATTTCTTCTTTAGTTTCAACTTCCAGAATAGCACTGCTTCTCATAAATGAAAAACAAAGTCGTAGGTCACACTATCAAGGAAGTATGATTGTGAAACAATACTGAAAGATAATTGATTGATTTTATTACAGTAAAGATTTTTAAACATATTTTTCACCTTTTAATTAAAATAGCAGTGATAAAATCTTGTCTTTTTTTCGTTATACCTAGGTGCATCTCTATACAAGTCGGCCCAAAGTAATCATATTTTATTTTTTCGAATTTAAGGTTGTTGTTTGTTGTTTATCCCAAATGCGTGGATCGATGCTCATGATGTCAATCACTGGATTGTCTGGTCAGACTTGATTATTTACAGACCGACGTCATATAGCTGGAATATTGCTGAGTGAGGCGTTAAACAACAAACAAACAAACAAACAACAACAACTAAGCGACTAACAGGATCGGGTGGTCAGGCTCGCTGACTTGGTGGATGCATGTCATCGTATCCCAATTGCGTGGATCGATGCTCATGATATCAATCACTGGATTGTCTGGTCAGACTTGATTATTTACAGACCGACGTCATATAGCTGGAATATTGCTGAGTGAGGCGTTAAACAACAAACAAACAAACAACAACAACAACAAAACAACAATCTGCAAAATGCACTGAAAGTGAAAGGCCTCCATATGCTCGTCTGCTCAGATTTCAGAATAAGCGCTTTTGTTTACAAACAAGAGAAAAGTTTGATCATGTGACATGCAAGTCAGCTTGTGGCAGTTGTGTCATGCTAAGTCATCACTGCATCCGGGAGTGGATATAACTATCGATACTGCCTCTGAAGCCAGGCAAGTATCTGTGTATATCCCCTTTCCTTGTGATGGCCGACTTGTGTCAGGGGAGACTACTTGGACATAACAGGGCCTATGCTTGGGGTGAGGTTAAATGGGGTTTAACGTCACGTCCAAGATTATTGCACTTAGATAGAGACGTGCATGCACGTGTGTGTGTGGCTGCTCCGAACTGATGCCGATTAGAGCTAGCTCTCTGAGATACCATGCCGCAGTTTAACATGAATACCCAACTCAGACACAGTATACTGACTCCAAGCCGACCAGTCCTTGTTTCAGCCCCTTAATGCCGAGTGCAAGACAGGGTAACAACAAGTACCATTTTTTAACGTCTTTTGGCATGACGCGGAAGGGGATCCAACCCTGGGCCTTCAGCTCTCGGATGCTCTACCACTGGACCAAGGAGGCGGTCGTCTAAGCTTGGCCACTTATACATCCTCCGCTGAAAACTTGGGATTTCATTGGTCATTCTGGATTACTGTATTCGACGTAATAAGCGCCCCGATCTAATAAGCTCCCACGGCGATATTTGCTAACATATTGGCTAGTGAACAATCCCAATTAGCATCCCTTCTGATTGATCAATGTACACAGGACATATTTATTCGTGTATAATACGCACTTGTGTGTTATATGCACCCTTAATTACGGGCAATTAAATTCTGGAAAAATATATTTGTCGTGTATAATACGCTCAGACTTTTCTTTTGTATCATTTCAGGCTGTCAGCATAAACCACAAAATTAACGATCTCTCAACTCTTTCACCAAAAACATATTCTAATAAGAGCCCCCTATTTCTAATTTTGAGAGCGACCTGGGCACTTATTACATCATATACGGTAAATAGAATAACACACATTACTGACTTGTAACAAGGAAGGAAGTTGAGATCTAAGAAGTCAAAAAGCAGAAACTGTCTTTCTCTTTGTTGATTGGGATGTCATTTCACTACAGTTTCAGCGTTAGAAATTGGCACTAGTCCTGTTGTCCTTGTCAAACTGCCAATAGTTAAGGTATCA